TGTGCATTTTTCTTCTTCAAATTATAGCTGAATGGTTTGCAATTAATAATTTTAAATCTAGATTAAATCAAGGTTTATCTAATAATTCTGTTGCACCAAACTTCAAACCTTTAAAAATAAGCAGGTTTACATTTTTAACCCATCATTTTGATTGGATTTAAGTTATATTTAAGATTAACTTTAATCCTGTTGCACCATAACGTTAAACTCAGATTTAAATCTCAATTATGGATCAACTTTAAACGTAACCCTTAAATGCATACCTCGGGTCTTTAGTGACCCGGGACATCATTCTCTTCCCTCAACTTTCTTAGTATTCCTCAATCTATTAATTATAAACAATATAACAAGAAAAAAACAGTAAAATATAAAAGAATGCCAGTTTTCTGATATTTTTTTTGTTAAAAGTGTATAGGGTCGCTAGAGACCCGAGGTATGTAAATGTGTAAGTATTTTTTCCTGCGCAACTCGGAGATCGCTACTAGACGAATCATGTAATTTTTTATTTTTTTATCTCTGTTCTTTTGTTGTAAGTTATGCTATTACTCCAGTAATTTATACTAGCCTATCCAGCGCGCACTGAACGCAGTCTCTGGCTTATTGCCAGTCGAGCGCAACGCTGCAGGGACGCGTCTATAACGACTTTGATCTGATCATAAAGTCTTTCCGAGTCACAGGGCTCAAGTCAAGTCTCGAGTCATTGCTGTCAAAGTCTAAGTCGAGTCTCAAGTCTTCTTTAATTATGTCGAGTCGCAAGTCATCAAATTTGGGACTCGAGTCCGAGTCAAGTCTCGAGTCAAGTGACTCGAGTCCACACCCCTGGTAATATGCATTGCTAAGAACTTCATTTGGACAACTTTAAAGATGATTTTCTCAATATTTAGATTTCTTTGCACCCTCAGATTCCAGATTTTGTTTGTGTATCTCAGCCAAATATTGTCCTATCCTAACAAACCATACATCAATGGAAAGCTTATTAATTCAGCTTTCAGATGATGCATAAATCTCAATTTCACAAAATTGACCCTTATGACTGGTTTCGTGGTCTAGGGTCACAAATATCAGTACACAAGTAGAAGTCCATCGATACTGGATTTTGCTGATACTGTAATGCGCTTAAAGAAAGGCAATAAAAATATTATCGTGGCAACACAAATAAAATCTATACTGAATGTGTTAAATAATGTTCCTAGTCTTTCTTTCCTGTGATGCGGCGGTTCAGAGAGAAAACACAGGAGATTACGCTGATTTAAATGCCAGATACTGTTTATTGTGTGACCAAAATATCAATAATAGCCCGGATAAAAAAAAGATTTTCAATAAATAAATCTGGGACTCTTGCTTTGAAATGTCTATGCTTTCCTACTTTAGCTGAGAGACATAAAATATGCATATACACCCATCTAGAAGATATTATAATATAAACATCTCAGTTCATCAGCGGTGCATCATAAGCAATTTTTAGGCATAAATGTGTTAAGGTCATTGCACACTGAGTCCGAAATTATCGTATGCGTTTTTTCGTATTCGTCATCCTTTCCTATCAAAATGCTTGCTACGGATGCGAAAACGCAGAAAATCGAACCTGATCCGAATTGTTTTATGACGGACGAAAGTTTCGGAGGCAGTGTGTAAAAACGTGATTGACACAACGTGAGGTCGTATTTATTTTTTAACGTGCGAAAATTTCTCAGGACTCCTTGCGCAAAGACCTTAACATTCACTGATTGCAAACGGCTCTGAAACTGCAACAGCGCCACGTTTAGATTTGTAAACTTGCAGCGCTCACATTTACTTCACTAAATCATAACCTTTTAAAGTTTAATAAATCACATATCTATTCTGTGTTTATTTCTATTGTGTCGACTTGTGTCCCCAAATGTAACACCTCTTAAAACGAAAATTAAGACTATTTAAGGAAGTGGTCTCAAACTCAATTCCTGGAGGGCCACAGCTCTGCAGAGTTCAGCTCAAACCAGCTCCAAATCACACCTGCTTGGAAGTGAAGACCTTGATTAGATGGATCAGGTGTGTTTGATTAGGGTTGGAGCAAAACTGTGCAGAGCTGTGGCCCTCCAGGAATTGAGTTTGAGTCCAATGATTTAAGGCCTTATTTATAATGGCCTTAAATTTGATCAGTTTGATTTAAGACTTTATAAGGACCTGAAACTGTTTTTTCTACAGTGTTTCGACTCGTTTGAGGCGTGTCATGAAACAAAACCACATCCGAATGCTAACTCATCTCCGCAGAACCCAGGGGCAGCTCATTAGTTCGCTGCAGTTTTTATAAACACAAAGAGCTTCTGATGGCGTTCAACACTGAACTGTTTTCTCTGCGCAGCGAGATACGAGATCTGAGGTCTGCAGAGGTCACCGCGAGGCTCCTCAAACTTCACTAGACTTTCAGAGTGACTGATAAACCAGCTGAGATCCAGAAATGACTGGACGGAGCTCCACGAGGTCGTTTCCCCCGCGGGGGACGTACCTGAAGACGTGGGGTCCTCTGAGAAATCGTGGAGGTCTTCAGGAGGGTCGCCGTAGAACGAGTTGAACTTGTGACTCGAGACGGCAGCGAGGACGGCGCCCTGTGAATCACACACACAAACTCATCTCTATTTCATTCATTACACTGTCAGATTCAAACAGGGCATTTTGATTAAATCATCTCGACGAACCGCAGACGTTTGACATTTGCACTCCAGAGATCTCACAAACATATTAGATCATCCAAACGCACGTCTTCACCTTTACACAGGCTCATCAAAGCTCCTCACGCCTCCTTATTCCTCTGTGCTCCAACCGTCACGCACCTCTGATGTACCAGAAGAAAACATCCCCTGCTTTCATGTGGTTTCTGTCAATGAGAACTTTACTCTCGCTAACCTAAAACTGCTGTTTAACTTCCAAACCTTCTGTATCAATGAATTCCCACCAGTCACTTCTGATTACTAGATACGGATTTTTAAATCATTTTACAGAAATGAAATATTACCGAAAATCACATTTTGTATATATAGTGACCGAGTGAAAAGATGCTTTCTGGTCTATTTAGTTGAAATGGATCTGAAAAACAGCTCAATTTGAGTGTTATTACTGGATTGAAACCGCATTGTGTTTCAATGATATCTAAAGCTAAGTGTCAATGTCGTAAAACATTCCAGTGTTGACAACTGTTTATCAACAACATTTTTTTCACCTGTGAAAACAAGATGATAACTACATACCAAGCTTAAAGGCACAATATGTAAAAAAATATATATTAAAATATCCAAAAACCACTAGAACAGTGTTATATATTTTGCTGACTTGTGTACTTACATTATCCCAAATGTAGATGAAGACTACAACTCCCATGATTCCACACTCTGTCACAGCGTCATCAAACTACGCCTTTGTTTCTTTGTTTGTTTTGAATACGCGCCCTCTAGCGGCGAAAATTACATATTGTGCCTTTAACTACACATAAACACAGTTGTTTAAATGAATGTAAACAGTTGGGAGAATATCAGATGTGTATCCGTTTATCAGATCTGTGCATTCAGTCTTAAAGTGATAGCAGCCTAATAAACCTGCTGCTGTTCATAGCAATCAAACAACAAAATAGAAAGAGAAAATCCCTCACTGCTCTTCACTAAATCACTTTAATAGCTTTAATAAGGATTTATCTTTAATTTCTATAAATAAATATGTCTGCTTATTCTTATATAACGTTCTAATAAAGAATGCATATATAACCACTGGTCTTTTATTGAAAATAAGACCCTGATTTTTGTTCTATAAGTGGTTTGATTTTTTTTTTTTTAAGATAAACAAAGTCGTGTTATGCGTCACAGCAGTTTAATCTGTGTCTGTGTTGCACATTCAAACCTTCATATCATTCATATCAGGTTAATAGATGTTTTCTCCAAGTGTATATGATGAGTTTGGACATTCTAGAGAAATGCTTAATGTTTTATAATTTAACTAAACCTGTTAACTAAACCTACTTTATTTTTCGTTTACTAAAATATTATATTTGTGACCCTGGAGCACAAAACCAGTCATAGGGTTCCATTTTATGAAATTGAGATTTATACATCATCTGAAAGCTGAATAAATAACTATGTTTATATATTTATATATAATATAATAATATAAATATATATACACATGTAAATATTTTCAAAATATATACTGTATGTGTGTGCATTTAAATATACATAATAAATAAACACAGTACACACACATATAGTATGTAAACAAAAATGTTTATTTTGGATGCGATTAATCGTTTGACAGCACTAGTATATATATATGACTGCTTTTGTGCTCCAGGGTCACATTTAGTCTCTAGTTTAAAACTACACTAAAACTAACTCAAATGATGCTGCCCTTTTTTCCCCTTTTTTAATGAGAGCCAGGTTTAGTCATTCAAAATTAAAACTAAATAAGATGTTTAAGATTAATTTTTCCCAAAAAACTTAAAACAAGATTTGGATTTATTTGATTAAAAACCTATCAACCGAAAGAATCAAGTTTCTCACAGGAGTTTATTACAGTCTAGACAAGATGGACACTTGGGATAATTCTCTATGCGGTCAAAACGTTGGGCGCGTGTGGTCTGCGGTGTTGGGTGACACGAGGAATTACTGCACGATTACAATAAATACCTTCAGTTTCCTCCGAGAGTTGAACTTCCTCAGCTGCTCCACCGTCTCGGGCAGGTGGATCTTGTACGAGTAGCGATCTCTCTCCTGCACGACACGCACAAACATGAGACAAACTCAACCCGATACCATGCTTGAAGGTCACAAACAGGAAGTGACTTCTACAGGAGGAGAAATGACAATCAGGTTAATTTTGAAGACAATAGCAGCAGCGTGCGACCTTGAGCCAGGGATGGTTGAGCGCCTCATAGACGGTGATTCTCTCGGCCGGGTCCAGCATTAGCATGCGTCGCACCAGGTCTTTAGCGCTCTCAGAGATCTGACTCCACTGCCGCGGGTTCATCTGACAAACAAACACATCGCTGAACCACACAAACGACTGGACCGGCTTCATCCAGCTGCAGCTATGAGTGCTCGTTTGTAATGACACAGAGCTCGGTTCTGACCACTGTATTTACAGTACAAATATCTAAACACTATTAAAGCTAGATTCATTTGACAGAAGAGTAGTCTTTAGCATTAAATGAGAAGAAATATCTGACAGTGGGGTCAGAGAATAAACTTGTTATTTAAAATAAATAAATACATATGTTTTATAATTATTGTATTATTTAAAAAAAAGTTTATTTTTCTGATCCCATTGGCAGATATTTTTCATTGTTTTAATCAAACTCATAATCTCTCAGAAAACAAGACTTCTCATCTTCTGTCATTTTGCATTAAGTAAATCTATCATGATTTAAGAATTTTTAGAAAACACACTAGAAAAAAAATATTTTCTTACTTGATTATTGATTATTATTATTTTAAATCCTTTTATATGTAAAGCACTTTGAAATACCATTGTGTATGAAATGTGCTATATAAATAAACTTTGCCTTGCTTAGTATTTTTGTCTTGTTTTCTAGTACATTCGGTTACACTTTATTTTAAGGTGTCCTTGTTACAGTGTAATTATACATGTGAGTACTGAGTAATATTAATTAACTACATGAACTTACTATATGGTTAGGGTTAGGATTTGGGGTTACTTGCATATAATTTATTGTTATTATAATAGTAAGTACATGTAACATGTAACAAGGACACCTTAAAATAAAGTGTTACCAAACATTCTTGAATCAAGATTCATTTACTGGAGAAGTAAAATGATTAAGATATTAGGGGACAGTTGCGCAACCATAGTCACCACGGTAAGACTGTGTCTTAGGAATCAGTTTGATTAACTAGCAGTTAACCAAGTGGTTACTTTTCAGAGTCAAATGAGATCAATCTACATTTTCAATGCAACTGACTTTAAAATATTACGACCAGTCTTGCAGAAAAAAATAGGACTAGTCTAAGCAGTTTATGCAACCAGCATAAATATCTGAAAAAATATCTGTCGGTGGGTTAAGAAAAATAATCTTAATTCAAAGAGAAAACAATTGGCAGATCCTAATTAAAAACTCGCTTCATTTTGATACAGTTTTCAGAAAGCAAGAATGAATCTCTTAATATCTCTGTTATTTTGCTTCTCAAGTAGATGTATCTTATGTATAGCACTGTCTATTCTCTCAATCCTAGATGTTCTCAGGTTGTCACACAAAGCACTCTAACCCTTCTCCATTAATATATGCAATGCTGTGCTTGGTCAAAAGTTATCTTAGAACTATTGTTATGAATCATGTGCAGCACATATCTATGATTTGAAACAGATTTCTCATTCTGCTCCTAAAACACCAGTGGAAGGTTCTGACATTAAAATCGCTCCACCTGACGTGTCTTCAGTGCTCTGGAGGTCGAGTGATGTGCTTCTGTCAATCACGCAGTACCTTGTACTTTCCTTTCACAATGGCTTCAAACAGACGCTCCTTGGTGCCGTAAAAAGGCAAACAGCCGCTCAACAGGATGAAGAGAATGACCCCGCAACCCCAAACATCCACCGGCTTCCCGTACGGCTCTCGCTTGACCACTTCAGGAGCCATGAAGTGAGGGGTCCCTACCCGACCTACACACACACACAGAGAGAGACAAAGAGGCCTGAGGCTTCAGGAACAAATCAGAGCAAAGAGCTGCACTTCCTGTAAACATGATCTGCTGTGGTGTGAATACACGTACCTCCAGCCACCAGCCCTGACTCGCCCAGCTGAATCGCCACGCCGAAGCCGCCCAGTTTAACAGGAGCAGAGTTCTCCTTAGAGGCCAGCAGCACACAGTGAGGCTGAACACACACACACACACACACACACACACACA